TAACAAGTTTTATTGGAGAATAACCCCTATAAAAGGAAAGGCAGGAAAAAGTGGAATTGGGCAATGAGATCTGTCAGACCTCGATGTCCAGTGGGGAGTTCCAGAACAGATTTCTCATAAAGAGGGATGTCCCATGGAAATGCTAAACTCTTGTTTCTTGTACCTTGTTCATTAAAAAAAAAAAAAAAAAAAAAAACAGGGATTGAACCCAGGGGTGCTTAATCACTGAGCCATATATCCAGTCCTTCTTTATATTAGAGACAGGGTCTCACTGAGTTGCACAGAGCCTCGATAAATTGCTGGGGCTATATTTGAACTCATGATCCTCCTGTCTCGGCCTCCTGAGCAGCTGGGATTACAGGCTTGCATCACCATGCCTGGCCCCTTGCTCAATTTTTAACCAGGRTCTGGAATAGTGGTACAGCTGTACTTCATCTGATAAGGGTTGGGGGATGTAACTCAGTAATAGAGTACCCCTGAGGTCAATCCTCAGTTCAAGGGGTGGATTGGGGTGGGGTTAGCAGTGAACAGATCAACTAATCCTAATGAGCATTTTGCTTTTGGTCATATAGTAAGACAATGAGATTGTAGCTAGCCAGTTTTCTTGAAGGGGCATCTTGAAAGAAACACATCTGTGTCTGACAAAGAATTATGGATCTTATATATGTTCTTTTCTTTTTGGGGGGATGGGGTGGGGTATGAGGGATTGAACTCAGGGGCACTCAAACACTGAGCCACATCCCCAGCCCTATTTTGTATTTTATTTAGAGACAGGGTCTCACTGAGTTACTTAGTGCCTCACTTTTGCTGAGGCTGGCTTTGAACTCACAATCCTCCTGCCTCAGCCTCCCAAGCCACTGCGCCCAGCTTATGTAGGTTCTTAAATGGTAACTGCATTGGTGGGTTGTATGAATGAAGTCAGTTACTATATTTCAGAGTGGTTATTATGAAAGACAAATTTAAGAGAATTGTACATCCCCTGCCCCTTCTCCAACATTGGATTATGAGTTAATTATCTCCCTTGCTGGGATTTGACAGAACATTATTCATAACTGTCATAGTGCTTATTACTACCACATGAAAACATCTCCTTACATTCTCTCTCCTCTTACACAGATCCCTAAGGGCAGAAGTGTTTTATTTAACTTTGTTCCTAACAAATGCTGGGCTGATGAAATAGGTGAATACTCAAAAATAAATGAGAAAAGTAACTATCTCTTGAGAAAGGGAAGGCACTGCAGAATTATACTATGTATGAATATATCACAATGAATTCCACTTTAATGCCTAACTRTGCACCAGTTTAAAAAACAGAAGGAATACCAATAGAGAAAGGTCATAAGGGGGAGGGAGAAGAAGCACAGGGGTAGTACTGGGGACTGAAATAGGGCAAATTGTGCATTTATAAATATGTCAAAATGAACCCAATTATGTAAAACATATAGCACTAATAAAAACAAATAAATGAAACTATCACTTGCTTTATATAAGTCCTGTTATTACATGTAAAGTAAATGTACAAACTATGTTTATTTATATACTCATTCCAACAAGTTAATTCAGCTTCCAAATAGGTGATCCAGTGAGAAGTAATTGACAGTGAGAAATGTTAAGTCTGAAGGTGGGGACAGAGCCCACTACCTTAGATCAAAACTAAAGGCTCTAAGAGGAATAAATTAAGAAGTGAAGAGGGGAGTGGGGGAAAGAAAGAAAAACTGTCAGGTAAGTGAATGAGAAAAGAAAAAACAGGACATGAGAGGGAAAAGAATGCATAGCAGACAGAGGGGAAAATAGAGTAGAGCTGTGAAAGGGAGCAGGGAGGCAGGCTTAGAGCTGCACTGCTCCAGGAAGTCTCCATCAATAGAATCCTCACTGACAGCTGTCACCATAATGGGAACTGGCACCTAAAGAGGGGGTGAGTCTGGTTTAATTAGTTAAATAGCATTATCTATGTCCAGTGGGGGTGGGGAAAAGAATGGAAGGATTCGTAACCTACCTCTTTCCTTAGAAAGGAAAAACAGCTTTGCCAGGAATTAAAGAGAGTATTTTCTTCCCCAATCGACTTTCCAAGGGCCCCATGTGTCCTTATTCATGGTATATGTTCAAAGGGACCTGTTCTGCTCTGATGGGGGTAACTAGAATCAATTATCAGTTCTTTACCTTGAACTGAAGAAAAGGTTTACTCACCTCTTTCCATCTTTCCACAAGCACCATGTAGCAGGATGGATCCTTGATGTAGCAGGAAGCAAGCACCATCCTTGATCACTGGAAATAGCGCCAAGGCTTCATTCTGCCCACCTGGGCTCTTAATCCAACTTTGCCACCAGTTGAACAAATGATATTGGGCAAATGGTTTTATTAGTTTAATCTCTTTGGCACCAAGATTCAGTGATATGATCATCTAACTAAGGAAAATAAATTCTGGACTATTAAGGAAATTTAAATTTCAGGTCTGGGGGAGGATAGTGTGTCCTGGGGTTTGAATCCAGGGTCCCAAACACGCTAAGCATGTCTCTACCCTGAGCTACACCTTCAGCCCAGGATATGCAATTCTTTTTACTTTTACCCAGGAAAGATCTTAGAGACAAATCTGAACCTCGCTAAAGAAAAAAAAAGAAAAAAAAGAAAACTCATTTCACCCCCTCTGCTTTTTTTATATTTTGGTACTACAGATTGAACCCAGAGCTTTAAGCAGCTGTAAACACCCCCCCCCCTCTGCCCGCTGCCTTTGTACATGCTGTGCAAGCACTGTTTAAGCTCTATCCCAACCTCTGAATTCCTAATGTTAAGATCTTTTTTTTTTTTAACATATTGTTTTAATTGTAGATGGATACAATACCTTTCATTTATTTATGTGGTGCTGAGGATCGAACCCAGTGCCTCACATGTGCTAGGCAAGTACCTTATCATTGAGCCCCAGCCCCAAGAATTCTTTTTTAATTGGTATGTTATTAGGGTTGGATTACTTTTTTCACCCCTTTCTGGTTACATCAGATATCAAAGATCGTAAAGTTTGAGTCATCTTGGTTCTACAGATTTACTGATTTAGACATGCTGGCATGGAGTTTGGGAAAGCCTGACCAACAGCTTCCAACCTCCAAACAAAACAAAATAAAATTTAAAAGCCTGCTAGAAAAAAAAAAAAAAAAAAAAAAGCCTGCTAGACCTAGGAAACCTAATCAACAACCAGAGACAGTGGGCAAATTTCTACCTTTAGAGGACATGAACTCTACAGGAAAATTATATTCACTGGAGGTTGTTTTAGGACAAGGCTGAGTAAATATTCCAACACCATATGTTCAGTTTTGGCAGGAGATGTAGGTGGGAAGGGAATCTCCATACTAGGAATGCCCATATCACACCCCTGCTGGCTAGTCATGAAATAAGGAGAAACACACAAATGTTTGATCAAAACACTTTTAATGATGGAGRGGAAGACACTAGTATCTCCCCTGTCTGCTTTCACTATGTTAGGAAGCATTGGAGCCCACTACTTCAGAGGAGAACCCTCATTCTCTCCTCAGAACTCCTGTTCCCAAAAATCCTATGTTAAGAGTAAACACTACATCTCATTACAAGACAGAAAGGCAGGAAGGAATCACCTGGAGCTTGTCTCCCAAAGTCTGGGGCTCTAAGAACCAGACAGTGGCAAAGACATAAGCCCTGGTCCATGATCACGCAAACTGGGGAGGAAATGGGTTTTGAGAGGGGAAGATGAGGAAATTACAAGGGGCCAGGTAATAAAGGAGGGAGTTATCTAAAACTAGAAGCACACTAGTGCTAGGAAATCCCCCATGATTCCCCTGGTGCACTGCTGCAAACTATGTCACCAGTAGCCCAAAAAGAACTTTCATGAGAATGCTCACATTCACAAGAATGCAAGGTTCCCTCCTTTATATATATATCATATCCCTTTCTTAATCAGGTAAGTTCCCAGCAAGCCCTATACTTGAGCAACATTCCTCAACTCTCCATTACTTCACAACCACCCTCACCAATAATGCTCATTAAGATRCAAACTAACTTTATATTTCCCAAAATACCCTATAAGAGATCTCTTGGCAAGAAATCTGCTTATTTCTCAACTTCAAAAATCCTTGATGACTGAGAAGTTGGAGATGTGCTGGCATACTGACCTGACAACACCTTTGCCTTAATGTGACTCTCAAAGGCTTTACTAGGAAGAGTGTTTTATGCCCTTCATCTCTCCCTACCTCTGGGGTAAAAATCACTAATTACTGGAACATCTTCATTGACAGCACCTTCTGAAGCAGGAGGAGAGAGAAGGAACATGCAGTTTGTTGCTTCTTTCTTCTGATGGGCTTTTTAGACACTGCCTTAAATACAGGAGGCTAAAATAGGAAAGGAGGCTGTCTTCTCCTTGGCTTCTCCGGATTCCATCGTTGGGGCCACCTTCTCCACTACAGTTCCTGGACCAAACAGCACTAGTGGTGCTAGGTCTAAAGTGGTAACAGAGATGGAGGCGGAACTCCAGGGCTTTGTGAGCAGGCCATGTGACTGGAAAGCTGTGCACTGGTTGCAGAAAGTATGGAACCCACCCCTGCCATCACCAGCTAGGCAGAAGGTCCTGGGACAAGAAATCCTGGAGAGAATCCTGGTCATCAGTGAGGAGTAGCACTCCAGAGACAGCTGCCAGCCCCTTTGGGCTGGGCTGCAATTCCAAAGATTGTGCTTAGGTGCACCTGCCAAAGGAAAAGGGAGAGGGAAAAGGAGAGGCTCCCCTTGAGAATGTGAAGCCTTACATAACCTATTTTCCTCAGGTAAAAGAATGAAGAGGGAAGAAAAATTTTTTAGGGGACCATCCCCTGGTAAGCACAATAATTTCCAAGCTCGGGGACTAGAGAAAAGCCACTAGAGACACCGATGTAAGAACTTAGAGCAAAAAGATGAAATAAGGGCTCATAAATCTTGGAGGTCCTTCTACGGAGCTCACAGTTTCTGCTCCCTAGATAAAAGGGAAGCAGGTACAGAAAACTGGCTCACGGGATTGTGGGGTCATCCTTTCGAGGGAAGGGGGAGAGCCCTGGAGAAGTGATGGAAGGTGAACAGCCAGGGACCAAGGAAAGAGCAGCAATATTCTGAGGGCCATGGGGAGCAAAGGGTTGTACCTGGTGGTGAGCCAACAGCATATGCTTCTTGAGGGTAGCCCTCTCAAGGAAGCCCTGCCTGCAGAAAATGCAAGTGAAGAGCGGCCCCTCCTTGGGGTGTGTCTTCTGATGCTCCTCCAGAGCTGCCTGGATGGGAAAGGTCTGGCCACACACTTCACAGGTCTTTCTGCCACTGCTCTCTCCTGGCTCCTTTCTCCCAGCTTCCTGCAAGCTCAGCTCCTCCACCAAGGGGGTGCCAGTGCCTTCTCTTTCTGGATTGAGTGGTGTTTCAGGGCTTGAGCTCCTCTCTGGTTTACCCACCTCTTCCATGCCTCCTGAAACCTCACTGCTGCCCTGCTCCATTGGCTGGGGTTGATCCAGGCAATCAGGTGGAGGCGGAGGTGGAGGTAGAGAAGACTGTTGATTTGCTTTCTCATTACTGTCTATCTCCTTCCCAGCTGTGGCTGCTGCGGCCATTGACCCCACCTCCTCCTCTGCCCCAGATGCCTCTTCTGAGTCACCTCGCACTGATATTGCTTTCTCACCTCCACTTTCTGAGCCTCTTCCTGCTAAGGAATCTTCATCAGTCACATCTTCCTCCTCTTCCTCATCCTCATCCTCWTCCTCAGATATTTCCTCTTCCAGTGATGGCTGCTGTGACTGCTGCTGGGGGAAGCTTCCCACCGCAGAGACTGCAGATTGCTCAGAGCCATTCTCCTGGGCAGCTCCTCCACCCTCTGGGAGTGTAGTACCACCATTGGGGATCTGGCCCCCCAGATGCATCCGAACATGCTGCTGCAGAGTGACAGCATTAGTGAACTTCTTCTGGCAGATGGGGCAGGAGTTCTGGGCCCKGGCAGCTGGACTGGCCTTATGGCCCACGAAATGTGCACGCAGATTACCCCTGGTGGAGAAGGCTCTGCCACACACTTTGCATTTAAAGGGCCGCTCACCTCCATGTTGACCATAGTGCAGGCGTAGAGCTCGAGGACAGCTCAGCACCCGGAGGCAGATGACACACTGGTTAGGTCCAGAAGAGGCTGAGGATGAAGGTGCAGGGGCAGAGGTGGTGGGGGCCCCTGATGGAGCAGAGGCTACTGCTACAGCTCCTTGTCGGTCAATCTTTTCTACCAGCTGCTGCAACTTGGATGTCTCAGAAGGTGAGGCCCCCAGGGGCTCTAGCACATAGGGGAAGGGGAAGCTGCCAGTGGATTTGAAGTGGTTGGTAAGCAGTGCCCAGCTTGGTAGCGAAGTTACCAGCTTACTTAGTTGCATGCGGGTTGCAGTGCCACTTTCTGCCACTCCACTGATGGCTGAGCCCTCACTCCCTGGGGGAGTGTTTTCATCAACTTTACTCTTGGGCTCCACTGCTTTCATGAGCACAAACTTATTGAAAGCAGGGAGCCCGGGAGCTGTGGCAGTCCCTGCCCCAGTGGAGAGCAGCGTGAGGCTCTCTGTGGCACTGAGTGCTGTGGTGGAGGCCACCAGAGGCTTGCGTTCCATACCTCCACTTGGCGTGGCTGCCTCCTCCTCAGCCTTCTCTGGTGGTACAGACATACCATAGGGCAGGCCRCTGCTGGTGATGACGTAGTCAAGGTGCTCTGGCACTGGATGTGGGTTCATCTGCACATGTGGGTACTTCTCGCGATGCCTATGGAAATGCACTTTGAGGTTCCCACGGGTGGTAAAGCGGTTGCCACAGACATTGCACTTATAGGGCCTCTCACCGGTGTGGGAGCGGAGGTGGATCTGCAGGGCACTGTCACTGCCAAATACTTTGGCACAGAAGCGGCATTTGTGCCTTCCACCTGGTTTCTCCAAGGGACCCATCACTTCCCCATAGCCCAGCTCACCACTTCCGTTCTTTGGCTTCAAGAGCCCTGGGGAGGCAGTGGCCTCAAGGCCTCGGGCTGCCCCAAGACATTGTGCTGCCAGTAGTCCTGTGGTGCCTGGGAATGCCAGATGAGGTGAGGCAATCAGCTGATCTGCGCTGCCTGGAAGGGCAGGGGAGGGGGCAGGGGCAGGCTTGTGGTTTCGCCCAACCCCTCCAGCAGAGAAGGGATGCTGTGCCCCCAGTGGGTGGTAAAGGTGAAAGAAAGCCTGCTTGGGTGTTTCTGCCCCTGAGGAGGAGGAGGAGGAAGAGGAGGAAGGTGCCAGTGTCTTGCCAGTTTGAACAGGCTTGATGGGGCTGAAGAGGGGTAGTAGGGGTTTGGTGGAGGAGGCAGTCCCTGTCCCAGGTAGCTCTGAGGGACTGGCAGGGGCACCTACGGACTGGCCTAAGGAGCCAAGCAGCAGCACCTGCCGGCAGATTTGCTCAGTCATCTGCATCTGATGGATTTGCCGCTGCTGCAGCACACGCAGCTCTTCCAAGATCAGAGGAATGTTCAAGTGGCCGCTGCCTAGACCTGGGGGTGGAGGGGGAGGTGGTGGAGGGGGGGGTGCAGGAGTGGATTCTGGAGGTAATGGGGTTGCTCCCAGCTTGGGACTGGCCAAGATTAGGCCCCCACCTCCCCCAGCCGCTGTACCTGTGGCAGCGACCAGGAAATGCCCTGAAGTCTCCTCTCCTCTCCGCTCTGGGCCCCAGGTGGGATCAGTCGGCCCAGAGGACCCGGATTCTGGAGGATTGCTGTTCTCTGTGTCCATGACTTGGGGACTGCTGTGACCCTCAGGCCGGGGTTCAGAGGAGGCATTAGAGTTGTTGGGGTTCTCTTGGCCCCCAATTATCACCATTACAGGAGGTTCAGTAGAACATGCGTTCTGGTGGGCGAGGAATTCAGCTGGATCCGTGAATTGTGCGCAGCATTTGGCACAGACTTGGGGGTGGTCCTCCTCGCTAGCATCACCTGGGAAGAGGACAAGAAGAGAGCGTGGGTGGTGCGTTGGGTTGGCTATACAGAGGCTCTAATTAACAACGAGCCGCAAGTTGGGGGTGGGGAGATGAGCTCACCATTAAGCCATGCATAAGGCTAGAGCTCAGTCTTGAACCTCGAGAAGAGATTCACCCCAGTAAGGGGGGGGTCACGCACACTCCACTCCCCTCCTCCGTCACCTCACCCCCCCAACACCCCTTTTCTGGCCCTGGGGAGTGGGAATGGGTGTGAGGACTGCAACCTACGGAGAGAATTATGCCTGTATCCCGCCCACCTGAAGTCCTTACCCCCGCGCGTCCCCTCCCTCCTCACCTCTGCCGGAGCCTGGCCCTACCGCACCTCCGAGCTCCGCAGGTTCCCCGCAGGGCCCCCCAAGACGAGAGCTCCTCCCGGCTTCGTGCGCCATGGTTGTCGGGGAAGCGGAGGGCCGGACGGGGTGGGAGACAATGGGTATCACGATTGAGGAAGCGACCGTGGCCGCCGGGGCTGCGGCAGGCTCTGCACCCAGCGGCCCAGACTGCGGAGATGGAGATCGGCGGCGGYGGGGGCTGGGAGCAGCGGCGGAGGGGGAGGGGAGCGAGGAGGCGCGGAGGAGGGGAGGAGCTGGAGCGAGAAAGCTGGGAGAGGGGAGAGGGGAGATGGGGGAGGAGAGTTTGCGGGGAGGAGCTGCTGGGGAGGGAAGCGAGAGCCGGAGACGCGAGCCACAGTACTTAGGGGGTTGTGGGGGCAGGAGCCCTGAGCTTCAGAGGGTTTCCCAAGGCTTATTGTCAGGTGCTGTGAGGTACGGTGGGGGTCCACCTTTCCTTATCCTCTGCCAGCTCCCCCTCGTTCCCAGATGTCTTTGCCCAGGCCTGCCCCCCCCCCCACCTCCGCCTAAGCTCAAGGGGCACAGTGGGAAACGTAGCCCTGCTCAATAGAGCAAGGCGATCGGCTTCTCTTATTTTTCTTTGGATAAAGGATCCGCAGAGCCTGGAAAACGTGGCTTCCAGAGAAAGGGTAGTCTCATCTTCTTAGGGGTCTCAGGGCCAAAGGGGGAGGAGGAGCCCCAAACGTCCTCCTCATCAGCATCCCCCCCAATACTCCCAAGTTTTGCCCCTCACTTCCATTCTCACACTACCTCGCCCCCCAATCCCTCTCCACAAAAGAAGTTTCACATGGTGAGAGGTTGCAAGGTAGAATTTCCAAGGAAGTCGTTTCAGGTCTTCTGTCTGCGGAACACGAAGCCCCTTCACTCTTTTCCCCTCCTCCCCCAGAATAATAGCTGAATGCAAACTACTGCACAGACCACCGGGCCAACACCTAATTTATAAAGTTCATGCTTATTTAAGAAGCCGGTCTTCTATTTAGTATCTTCATCTCTACTCTCTGCCCCCTATGTTCTCCTCTTTCAACACTTGCACACTGTCCCTATAACCGACAGTGGGTTTGAAGAGATGCCTGCAGAGGCCTACCGAGACCCACCCAGCTGGGGGGGAGGGGAACTTCTGAAACAATGGAGAAAATGCAGTGGGAGCTACCAGGCAGCCTCTCCTAAATCCCTTTCCCCCCAACAACCTGGTTTGAATGCCTGGACCAGACTGACACCTGCTCTGGCTCATGGGGGTGCCTCACATTCAGCAAGAGGTTAGATAGGGTTAAATAAGATGAGTCTTGGGCCAGGTAGTCTGCATTCCCTTTCTGCCTTGAAATGAGTCCTAAAGGGTTTTCTAATTCCTGAAACACCATTTAACATTTGATTTTTTTTGTTGTTGTTGTTATTTGTTTTTGGTACCAGGGATGTAACTCAGGGGCGCTTAATCACGGAGCCATATCCCCAGCCCTTTTGGGGATTTTATTAGAGACAGGTTCTTGCTTATTTGCATAGGACCTCAATAAATTGCTGAGGCTGACTAAACTCAAGATCTTCCTGTCTCAGCCTCCAGAGCAGGAGCAGCTTGGATTAGAGGCGCATGCCACCACACCAGCCCACTATTTTACATTTGAGAAGTATTGACATAATTTCTGCTACTTCTAGTAATCCCAGATGGGGAGGGGCGCTCAGGCCAGTCTCAGCAATTTAGCAAGATCCAGTCTCTCAAAAAATAAATGCAGCTCAGTGGTAGAGCACCCATGGGATCAATCCCCAGTAACATACACACAAAGTAATCATAGGTCCTTGGTTTTGTGGTTTGCTTGGGCATCAGTAAACTCACCTTGCCTGGGTGGTAAACTGAGGCCTGGTGATCAGTCACTATGCTATGCCACCATTTCCCTTTTTTGTTGTTGTTATTTGTTTTTGTTTTTATTAGAGTCTTATAAATAGTAGTTCATCCCAACAAACTCAAACATCCAAGGAAATTCATTTCAGTTCATGATCCTGCCTATTGTCTCCTGACCCGCCCCCCCATTCTCCTTTCKCTACTTCACTTCTTTTCCCTCATCTATTTACCATTTCCCTTTTTGTAAAGTGGTAGTAGTATAGCCAGCCTGTCTGTCTTTCTTTTCCTCTTTTTTTTTTCTGGTGCTAGAAAATGAACCCAGGCCTTGCATCAAGCACTCAACCACTGAACTATATCCCAATATCCCCCCTCCTTTTTTTTTTTTTTTTTTTTTTTKGTGGTCTGGGTATTAAACTCAGTAGTACCTTGAGCATGTTAGGAAGAACTTTAGAAATGGCTCAGCCACACCCCAGCCCTTATATGGGCATTATTAAGTTTGGAGAGTCCTAAATATTATGGATTAGAGAGCTGACATTGTCAATGCAAAATAATCAAATTAACTTAAAACACACATATACTAAAATGAGATGTGGGGCTGGGGATGTGGCTCAAGCGGTAGCGCACTCGCCTGGCATGCRTGCGCTCGGGGGTTSGATCCTCAGCACCACATACCAACAAGAATGTTGTGTCCGCCGAKAACTAGAAAATAAATATTGAAAATTCTCTCTCTCTCTCTCTCTCTCCCCTCTCTCTTTAAAAAATAAATAAATAAAATGAGATGTTTTTTTGTATTGTTTATTAATTTTTTTCTCTGTGCTAGGGATTGAATCCAGGACCTCATGAATGCTTGGCAAGCATTCTACCACTGAGCTACACCACCATCCCCAACCTTATTAATTTCTGAGTTAAGATATTGGTTAATATTGGCATATGTCAGGGATAAGGAGTCATTGGGAGGAGAGCTGATACAACCCAATTAAAATATTAATAACATCCACTGAATTTTCAACATAAATTTTGCCKGTCTTTACAAACTGAAACCATCTTACAATCATATTTTGAAACTTCAGGTAACCTTAAGGATCTTAGCATTTTGAATCACAGCTCTGAAACAGGTGGGTTCTCTACTTGCAGACCTGGCCCTTCCAAATGAGGAAGAAAGGRTCTGTTTAATTACAGAAAGTCACAGCTTAATACAATGTGGTTTATTTTTACAGATAAGGAAATTGAAGCTCTGAGAGGTTAAGTGACTTTTCCAAGTTCACACAGTAACTCACTGAAGCAGGCATTCACAATTCTGACTCCTATCCAGTGCTTTCTCAAGCACATCACATTGTGTGGCTAGAGAAAGGGCCCTGTGTGGCTCCTACCTGCCATTTGCTCTCTGGCCTGAGTAAGGGAGAGGGAATCAGATGGAGACTTTCTACTGAGCATTTGTTAATTAGCATGGAACATTTGATATCCAGTTACTGTTTTGTCAAGTCTTCTGACAAGAAAAGAAATTCTTTTCTTTTCATCTTCTCCTGGGAAACACTGTCCCCTTTTTTACTCTTTAATGAAACGTGCTTTCTGGTGCGAAATTTGATCTGCACTCTTCTTTAAGGTAAATTTAGCCCCTGGTGAAAGGTGACAGATCAACAGCCACCTGTAAGAGGAACCCTCCACTTCTCAGCACTTTACACTCACTGTAGATCCTGAAAAGGGGGGCGGGATTCTTAWGCAGACATGAATAAAGTCACAAACACAGGAACAAACAAACTAAGCTGGTTATGGTGTCCCTAGATAGCAGATAAAGTGAGGTCACATGCAGAGTCTAGGGTAGATATAGAATTAAGACCTGGACATGCTTGTTTAAATTTACAAAGAGCAGAAATGACAAAGGGAAAGGAAACCAGGTGGCTTYCCCCTCTAAACTTGGTGCCCCATCACACTGAGACTTTAGGCTTCGGAGASAATGGTTAGGGGGAACAGAGAGAAAAATAGGTGGGTTGTGTGTGGAAGTGTAGCAAGCATATTTGAACAGTGGTTCTCAAACTATTGGTCATTGTAGCAATTATAATTCAAACATAATTCAATTATAATTCAAAATTACCCTGAGCTTTTAAGAATTCTGATGTTCAGGCCATGCCCTAAACTAAATTAAGTAAGAATCCCTAAGGGTTAGATCCGGCATTAGTATTTTTGAAAAGCTCCTCAGTGATTCCAGTGTACAAGTAAGGGGCTGGAAGTGTAGCTCAGTGGTATAATACTTGCTTAGCATGAGGGAAGGCCTGGGTTCAATCCCCAGCACCAAAGAAACAAAAACAAAAACAAAGACAGAAGCAAAGAAGCAAAATAATGTACATACAGCCAAGGATGAGAACTACAGTATTAGAGGACTATCCTTCCCTTCAAACCTTCCACCTTGTTCCTCACAAACTAAACCTAATCAAAATTGGAATAGAGGCAAARAAGGAGCTGCTCAGTGGCAAATTTTACCCTCAGGCTCCCTTTCTACTCTGTCCACAATCATACTTAAGCTTTTTTGTGTCCTTTCCTGGTGAAAAAAAAAAATCTGAATTTGATGAAACAAAATTCTATTTAAAAAAATAGAATTTGATATAATTTACATCTAACTATGAATCTAAGCAACTGTATTGTTTTTCCCAGGGCATGTTCATCTTCAATATTTATTTCTTTTAAAATTTTAGTTAAGGGATGGGATTGTGGTTCAGAGGTAGAGAACTCGGCAAGCACATGTGAGGCCCTGAGTTCAATCCTTGGCACCAAATAAAAAATAAATAAATAAAACAAAGGTATTATTGTGTCTAACTACAACTAAAAAAAAAAAATTAGTTGTCATCTTTTTTTTTTTTTTTTTTTGTACTAGGGATTTAACCTAGGAATGATATTCCACTGAGCTACATCCCCAGGCCTTTTGTTTGTCTGTTTATTTAATTTTTTGGTACCAGGGGGCACCTAACCACTTAGCCACATCTCCATCTCCAGCCCTTTTTATTTTTAATTTTGAGACAGGGTCTCACTATGTTCCTTAAGACTTTGAACTTGCCATCCTCCTGCCTCAGCTTTCCAAGCCACTGTGGTTACAGGTGAGCTCCACTGTGCCCAGCTAAGCCATATCTTTAGTTGTAAGATGAAAAGTTTACAGAGTTAGAGCATCATTCAGCTACAAAGGAAGCAAAGCATATTATGTAAGCACCTGCCTAAACTTACTTGTTTTTAACATTGGACCAACACTAATTGGTAGCTTCCATAATTATTTATTATTATTATTATTATTATTATTATTATTATTATTATTTTGGCATCAGGGATTGAACT